GGAGCAGGAAGAGAGCGGGCCGCATTTGTCACTGCGTGCACAGCTCGGCACGCTGGCCCTGTCGCGGTTGTCCAAAGGCGAGCCTGTCGAGGACCGCGTCCTATGCGCCATTGTCGTCCACGGTATTCGCCAGCTGGACCCAGCAAGCAGCGGCTGGATCCTCTGCAACTTTCCCCGCACCAGGATCCAGGTGCGATGCGTGTGGCTGTGTGCATGCGTGTACCTGTGTATGTGTGTTGGTGTGGGTGTGGGCGTGGGTGTCTGGTTGTCTACCTCTGCCTGAACATACGTTCAAACAAAACCACCTTGCACCAGCCTCACCACTGACCCCCCCCCCTACACTCTGCTGTCAGGCGGAGCTGCTTGAGCGGTGCCTGAGCGGTCGCGTCATCACGAGTCGCCCGCCAACGCCGACGACCCACTTCCCGCGCGCTGACTCTCTCCTCCTCAAGAACCAGCAGTCACACACCACCAGCCACCACAACACGGCAATTGGCGGCAGTGGTCACGGCATGCAGTCGCACCCAACGGCAGCCAAGTCCGGCACATCGCTTGGCGGTGCAAAGGCGTCAGCAGCGGGGCTGACGGGTGCTGGTGCTGCGTGCTCGTCGTCCTCACCCTCCACGACATCAATCGCAGACGGAAAACCGTTGGACATTTCCCAGCGCAGCATCGACTCTGGTTTGTTCTTCGTGTCTGTGTCTGTGTCTGTGCCTGTGTGTGTGTGTGTGTGCCTGTTTGTGTGTGTGTGTGTGTGTCTGTCTGTCTGTGTGTGTGTCGTGTGTGTCGTGTGTGTGTGTGTGTGTGTGTGTGTGTGTGTGTGTGTGTGAATTGACGTGCAACTTTGCGTTTTAACGTGCATCTCCTGCCCCCTCAGTGCTGTGCTTCTCACAACCGCCGCCACACCACCATATCTCACTTGCCCCCCCCCCCCCCCAACACAAACACAAAAACTCAAACGCCTCCAATGCTGCAGTGATTGTGCTTGACATGAGCGACGAGGCCGTGCTCAACCGCGTGCTCGGCCGGCGCATCGATCCGGAAACCGGACAGCGCGTCCACATTGATGACGTGGATGCGCTCCTGCACACGGAGGACGATGCCGTGAGTCCGCACGGCAAGAAGAGCATTGATCTTCGCACGAGCAGCACGGAGGCCATGATGGACCCCTCTGCCTCGTTTGAGGACAGCCCGCTCATCCGCCTGACAGAGGTGGAGGATGGCGACCTCGCTGGCGACAAGGTCGAGCAGATGGTCGCCACGTACAACGCAGAGGCGCCCGCGATGCACGCGTGGTACGACCGCCACTTTGGCGTTGTGACGCACATCAATGGCAACGGCGCTGCCAGTGCTGTGGACAGCGAGCGCGGGGACGTTGCTGCTGCGCTTGAGAAAGCGGTGGTGTGGGCACTGGAGACGGAGGCGCGCGAAGCACAAGAGGCGTGGCAGGCACTGCACGCTGAGGAAGAGCGGGTGCAGCGCACGCTGTCGCAGCCCATCATCGCCGTGCAGGAGCAGGCCACGGTTGAGGCGGCTGTTGCTGCCGTGCACACGTCCTCCTCCCCGAATCTCGCTGGCGATGGCAGCGGTGGCGACAACACCAAGCCCAAGAGCGCCAGCACGAACAGCAACAGGGGCAGCGGTGACACGACGAGCAAGGCGGCGAGCGAGCGCGGGTCGTCTGCGCTTGGCGCGCCCAAGTCGCCGTCAGCTGCGAGGAAGAAGAGCGGCAAGAAGGGCAGTGGCTCGTCTCGCCCGGGGACTCGCGGTTCGCGCCCAGCCAGCAAGCGAGGCGGCCAGGACAAGGACAAGGATAAAGACAAGGATAAGGATGGCGCTGCAACGGCTGGTGGTGCGATGGGCGGGCATGTTCCTGACGCAGACAAGCTGAAGCAGGAGGCCGGCGCCATCAAGGCGGAGAAGACGCGTGCTGCCACGGAGCTGGCTGGCAGCGGCGGTGCCCTCCATCGCGCCCGCGACGAGCAGCCGACGTTTGTTGACCTGACGGTTGATGCTGAGCTTGCCAAAGGCCTGGTGCCGCTGTGGGACGTCATGGAGCGCTGCTACGTCGGCGATGTCAAGCAGATGCTGCGCAATCTGCGGCACTGCCGGCAGAACAGCTCCGAGTCGCTCTCTGCGCTCGAGCGCGAGATTATGGGCTTTCTCTCGCGGCCCGACGCGGCGCAGGAGTATGTCAACAGCTGGCAGCGCGCCTTCAACGAGGTGCCGGACAAGCTGCGCGGGAACGATGCCTGCAAGGCCGAGCTGTACCAGCGCGTTGAGGAGCTCAAGGATGCGCTGTATGACATATGCGACCAGCGGAAGCAGGAGGCGGATGACCTGCTACAACAGCGCGCAAACGACCTGATGACGGACGACCAGTGCAATATCGCGCTCAACGCGTTTATTGGGCTGATGCAGGCGGAGGTGGATCGCTATGTGCAGACGCAGCAGCTGCTCAGCGACACGTACTGCCACATGCAGGGCAAGCTTGCGGACGACCTCGCTGCGAACCAGCCCACGCTGCCGCTCGTGGACATGCACCACAAGCCCAACGAGCGCACGTCCGCGCGCACGAAGAAGAAGCAGCCAATGGCTGACATTGTTCCGCAGGAGAGCGGTGTGCCGCTGCAGCTGCGCCAGAGCATGGACGATGTTGGCGACGCGCTGGCGCTGACAACGGCGATGACACTTGCACTTGAGGCGGTGCCGAAGCGAACGGAGCCCGCCGTTGTGCGGCAGGAGGCTGCGAGGGCGGCGGAGGAGGAGGCAAGGCGAAAGGCCGAGGAAGAAGCGGCATCGAAGAAGAAGGGGAAGAAGGGGAAGAAGACGGCTGAACCCGAAGAGGTGCCCCCGCCAGAACCAACGGAGGAGGAGCTTGCAGCCAAGAAGGCGGAGGAGGAGCGAAAGGCGTTTGTCGCCGCAGCGGAAGACGAGCACTTTGCTGCCGCTGTCATTGAGGACAGGCGGTTCCGTGCGCGGCTGCACCTCATCCAGCACGTGGCGCAGGGCATGCTGAAGCAGCTGCGAGAGCCCGCGTCGCAGAGCCTGGAGCGGCTGGAGCGGGCGATTGGACAGCGGTACAAGAAGGAGCACGAGAGCGTGGATCGCCTCTGTGCACAGGCGCGCAGTGCCATTGAGGCGCAGGTCAAGATTTATCGCGAGCTCGTCTTCATTGGTCAGTCCGTGGTGGTCGAGGCGAGGGGCAGTGTGGGGAATAAGGGGGTGTTTGCACTTGAATGCGTGAGTGCGTGTAAGTGTGCTTCTGTATGTGTGTATGTGTGTGTGCGTGTGTGTCTGTGTGTGTCTGTGTGTGCGTGCGTGCGTGTGTCTGTGTGTGTGTGTGTCTTTGTGCGTGTGTCTTTTGTGTGTCTTTGTGTGTCTTTGTGCGTGTGTGTGTGTTTGTGTTTGTGTGTGTGTGTGTGTGTGTGCGCGCGCACACGCGTCTGTGTGTGTGTGTGTGTGTGTGTGTGCTTCTCTGCGTGTTGGCGACACTGTTGTTCAATCTCGATATGCTCACTCGCACGCCACGCACGCTTGATCGCACGGCCAGATGCCAACTTTGACGTGAACCGGGATGTGGTGCTGTCGCCCGTGCCGCGACCGCCACGCCCTGCGACGCCTGTTGAAACGGAGCGTTTTGACGAGTTTACAATTGCGCAACTTCACGCCTTGCATAAGGAGCTGTCGCTGATTGCGCCGAGCGGGTTTATCCCGCGTGACGACATGGTGGACCTCATTGACCGCCTTCGCCAGCAGCCGGCGTGCGCGGGTGCACTGCCGCCCAAGTTCACCACCATCACGCGCAAGGACATCGCGAGCGCCTTTGGCAAGTGCTACACCCCTGAAAGCGACTGGGTGGACTGGCGCATGTTCCTGGTGGACATGTGTGCCATCCCAGAGCCGAAGACGGAGGCCCTCCTGCGCTCGTTTGCAGAGCTGTACGCCATGAACACACACGGCACCGTGTCGTGGCTGCAGTACAACGCGGCGTGGCTGTGGTTCGCGCCACCACAGACCACCCCAACCGCAGATGTGCACGCACCACGCGCGTTTGATCGAGGTGCGGGCCTCAAGCGACTGCTGTTTGATGTGTTCGCCGGGGACGCAGCCACGTACTTTGGGCGGGAGATTGACTTCTTCACGCTGTTCACGTACATTTGTCGCGGCAACAACGGGCGCACGGCGCTGAGCCGGGTGGCAACGCTGGTGTCCATTGCAAAGGGGTGCACACCACTGCATGAGGTGCAGACTGCACTCGCCCGCGCACTCGCCGCCGCAGGCATCAACACCACGAGTGGTGATGCAACAGAGGGCGGTGATGGTGATGGCGATGACGATGACGATAGGAATGGTGATGCGAACACCACAGACAACAATGGCAACGGCAGCAGCAGCGGTGTTGTTGTTGGCGGCGGCGGCAGCAGCAAGGACACGCTTGACGGCAGCGTGAGCACAATGGAGGCGCCAACAACGCCGCTGCGAACCGTGCCGAGCACCCCGAATGTGTCTGTCTCCACCTGGTCCCCATCGAAGGACGGCGAGGAAGGCGGTAGTGACGGTGATGGTGACGACAACAGCCACAAGGTCGAGATTGAGGTGATCCCGCAGTCTGATGCTGGCGACACAGCACCATCAACACCAGCGGCAGCGTCAACACCCGACGACAAGGACAAGGACAAGGACGCGGGCAAGACGAAACGCAAGTCCAAGTCCAAGTCCAAACCAAACGACGGCGAAGGCGACGAGGAGCGCGAGCTGTCGGCATCGAGCGCCCGCAAGTCCAAGGGCCGCGACGGCAGCGGCAGTGCACGGTCGCGGCGCGCATCGATGAACCCGTCGTCTGCGCGCAAGGGCCTCAAGTCGCCATCCCGCGGGGCATCACGGCGCGGCAGCAAGATCATGCGCGATGACGACAACAGCAACGCCGACGACGCAAACAACACGTCCATCAGCAACAACGAGAGCGCCGATGTGTTTGAGCTTGGCAATGTGGACGGCGACACGTCTGCTTCGACCATGCACGTGGAGGACGATGTGGTGGTGCAGCTGCCAGTGCGCATCACGTCGGAGGTGCTGCTGTCGCTGATTGCTCACGGCGTGCGCGAGCTAGGGGACATTGAGACGGACGTGACGCAAGCCGAGCACGTGGCTGGCGCTGTTGAACTGCACCAGATGCTGTCGCTGACGGCCGACGAAGCGGAGGAGATGATTGCGTATGTGCAGGCGGCACAGGAGCACCTGCGGGAGCAGCAGCGATTGGAGGATAAGGAGAGAGCTGAACGTGGCGATGGTGATGATGAGGGTGATGATGATGATGATGATGATGATGATGGCGAGAATGAGCACGTGCGCTTTGCAGACGACGACAGCGCTAAGCAAGGCGGTCTCCGTGCAGGCAAGAAGACGAACAAACAGGAGGGGGGTGAAGTGCAGGGTCGTGGCGCTGATGGCAACGCCCATATGGACGACGGCAGCGGTGACAATGACGCGCAGGATGGTGGTGGCGATGATGGTGACGGTGACAATGATGCTGACGCCGATAATGTTGTTGTTACGGCAGATGAGCTCGTGTTTGGCTCGTCGGCGCCGTCCATTCTTCTTCCGCTCCAGTCCAAGTTTGCTCGATGCACACGACTCTAATGATTGGTTTTGTTGTGTGTGTGTGTGTGTGTGTCTGTGTCTCTGTGAGTGTGTGTGTGTGTCTGTCTGTCTGTCTGTCTGTCTGTTTCTCTCTGTGTGTGTGTGTGTGTGTGTGTGTGTGTCGTGGGTCTTGTTGCTTGCTCACTCTTTTTCATGTGTGATGCGTTGGTTTCATAGAGAGCTTGGTTTGGCGTTTTGGTGTGGGCATGTGGATGGGTTACAGTTGGTTTCATGTGCGTTTCATGTGCGTTGAAGTACAAAACAGTCATGGGTGAAGGTCAAAGTGACACGCGATGGTTCGAAGGGCAAGCAAGGGCGCGACAAGTGGTGTGATACCATGTGATGTGGCATCATTGCTGTAACTGCTGCAGCAACGGCAGCGCCAATGTGAACGCAACCCCTTTTCAACGGCCACAACATGTTGAAAAACAATCGCTAGCTAGCTAGGTTTGCCGCAAGCGCTGCACTAACGAACGAATGCGCACCATAGCTCGGGTGTCATCATCCTCATTGTAATTGTCGTCATCGGCGTGTAGATCTTGATCATCTCCATACACATCAGCTCCTGTGTACTCATCACCATCGTGTTCACCGTACTCGCCATCATAATCGTCGCCATCATACTCATCGCCGTCGTCGTCACCATTTTCATTGTGGCGACGGTGGTGGTGGTGTGCCTGCCTCACACCATGGTACCAACTGCCACCAGTGAATGAAGCTTCGTCATCATCATCATCATCATCATCATCATACACATCCACGCCACTCACATCGCTGTCGTCGTGAGGGTGTTGGCGGGTTCTTCTGGTTCCTGTAGGCCGATGAGGATCGCGAGGCTGATGTTGACTCTGAGGTGCAAATAGGGCAGCGTGTAAGCTGCTGTGAGCACTGGAGGGTACCTGCTGGCCGTGTAAGACGTGGTTATCTCGTCTACGTGCACGGCCATCACTATTAACGTCGTCCACACCATCACCTGTGCCACCACGTTCATCGTCACTGCTATTCTCGTCACCGCCACCATCGCCATTGTGTACAAGCTCTTCCTCCTCCCACAACGGCAGCCCCTGTACATCGGTGTCAGCGTCATATCTGGTCGTGTGCAATTGCAGCGCCCGCTGTCGTGCTGTGAAGCCGCCTCCTTCCAGGAATTGAACGAGTGCACGTGCCTTTGATGCTGGTGACGGTGGCTGTTTCCCTCCGCTGCTACTGGTACCACTGCTTATGCCACCCAGGAGTTGCGACAGCTGCTGTGCTGCCGCTGGCGCTGCGATGTGCGACCACTGCGTGGTGGAGGGTGAGATGGAGTTGCTGCTCCGTACTCTGCTTGTGCTTCTCCTCGCACGTTGTGCTCGACGAGGATGATCTTGAGCTTGAGCGTGAGCTTGAGCCTGATGATGATAAGGGTGGCGGCGGGGATGGGTGTGAGGACGATGGGGGTGTGTCTGGTGGCGAGGGCTTGCGTCTGCACTGGGTGATGTCTCGTGTGCAGCATTTGGTTGCTCATGTCGCTGCTGCTGCCGAGTTGGTTGTGTTTGCTGCTGTTTTGCTTGTCTGCTTCTCTGCGGTGGGCGCTGCTGGCGTGTTGAGGCTGGGCCAGTCGCCGTGTGTGCATCTTCATCGAGAGCAGGAGGTGAAGGTGGTGGAGAGACGTGCGCTGCCCATTGTGCAATGCTGTCATACTGCGGGGGCTGCGGTGGTGTGTTTGGGTGTGGGGTTGATGTATGCAGGCTGCTGCTTTTGCTGTGGTGGTGTCGTGCGTATTGGCGCTGTCGTTGCTGCTGTTGGTGTTGTTGGTGTTGTTGGTCTTGTTGGTCTTGTTGGTGTCGGTGTTGTTGTTGTTGGTGGTGGTGGTGGTGTTGTTGTTGGTGGTGGTGGACGCGTTGCTTCCGTGTTTGCGGTACGTGGTGTTGATATCGTGGCCGCCGACGTTGGCGTGGCTGTCGCCGGTATGTGTGCGCCGGCAGCGGTGGCCAGTCGCCCTGGAAGGGGCGCATTTCATCCAAGTATGCGCGCATGTTCACCTCCCATGGTCTCGGCTGCGATTCAAAATCGAGACGCGCAAGCTGCAAGGACTGCTCCAGGGATTGTTCCTGTTGCTGTAGCAGCTGCTGTTGTTGGCGATGGTGCTCTTGGGGAACGCTGGTGACGGCGGCATCTGAGTTTGTGGCAGTTGTGTGTTGATGCGATGCCAAGGATTGCTGCGGGACGGTGGTGCCTTGCGCTGTGCCGACGATACGAGAGAGTGGCAGTGGTGCAAGAAAAAGCGACGGATCAATGGAAGGTAGGGTCACGGGCTGGGCGGTGGCTTCTGCGAAGCTCACGCTGAGCAGCGCGTCCGTGGTCTTGGAGCACACAGACAAGGTGTCGTCATTGTCCTGCACTGCAAGTGCGGGTACATTTGATATTTGTGATGACACTGTTTGTGGTACTGTTTGTGGTGTTGCTTGTGGTATTGATTGTGGTGGGTGTTGGTGTGGAAATGATTGAAGCTGTGACGGTTGCGAGGGTTGTGAAAGGTAAGAATGGCTGTGTCGCTGCTGCTGCTGTTGTTGCTGCTGCTGTTGTTGTTGCTGTTCTTCGTGCTGGTGAAGGATCTGTCGGAGACGCTGTGAGGCCGAGAGCTTGTTTCGATTGCCACCACCGCCACCAAAGTCGCTGCTCATCATCGTCGTTTGCCTCCTGCGGCGTTTCAAATTTGGCGGAAGGCAACTGAAATCAGTCGAATCGACTTATGTCAGTCTCGTTAATAACCGCCAGTGCCAAAAAGGAAAGGAAGCACAGAAGACCGTGAGGAAGCACAAGCACACGACACCACACCACACCACACCACCGCACGCACACCGACACACCACACCACTCGCCAACATGACGGACACTGAGCTTGTGTCGCCACCCCAGGATGGCATCTCCTCTGTTGTGTTTTCTCCGACCAGCAACTTGCTTCTCGTTGCTTCCTGGGACAAGGTGTGTGTGTGTGTGTGTGTGTGTGTGTGTGTCTGTCTGTCTGTCTGTCTGTCTGTGTGTGTGAGTGTGTGTGTGTGTGTGTGTGTGTGTGTGTGTGTGTGTGTGTGTGTGTGTGTGTGTGTGTGTGTGTGTGTGAAAATGGGTAACTTTTGTGTTGCTGTTCTTCTACCAGTACACTTGCGTTTGTTCGTCGTCGTCCTCCTCCTCCTCCTCCTCCTCCACCTCCGCCTCCTCCTCATCTGGAGAAGGTAAAAAAGAGACCGCCGAGACTACCTATTTGATCGGTGACCATAGCTCATTTTTCGTTACTGGATAGAAGTGGGCTGCTCAGGGACATAGAAGACATAGACGTATAGCGATCTTGATTACAAAGCACAGTGATAGTTCCTCATTTCGCGCTAAACG